CCTACTCTTGCCCACCAACTTGACCTGAGTCAGTCTAGGAAGGGGTGGGGGAAATCTTCCCCTCCTGAATCCCCATTTCCCCAGCTCCTTCATTCCTGAGAAGCTGGCTCTTGGGTGGAAGTTGTCCAGAATCGGCACAGAACAGTGATAATGCTTGGCTCTTAACAGTATGCCTGGATTTCCACCTTGACTGTCCTACTCTCTATTTAAACTTGGTCATCACTGTTTGATTCTAGTTAATTACTTATCCTTCCTAGGTATTGACTATAAAATGAGGACTAATAATGGCATGTCCTTGTAAGACTGTTTTAAGAATTTCTGCTTTTATGTGCCATCAAGTTGGAATTGACTCATAGCTGACCCACCAGAGAGTTTTCAAAATAAATTGCATGATACAAAATTGCCCATCTTTTTCCCCTGGAGAAGCTGGTGGATTTGAGCCATGTGCCTTTGGGTTGGCAGCACAGCTCTTTACCACTAAGCTACCAGAGTTCCCTGTTACGAGGACTAGATGAGTCAGTACAGCCAAAGCTCCTTCTGCAGTGCTGAGCACAGCACATGTTGTTTGCTCTTAGCTGCCATCAAGTTGACTCTGACATCATCACACACAGTGGAACTAAATGCGTCTGGTCCTCTGCCATCTCCAGGAGACTGGTTTACTCTGTGGGGTATTCACTGGCTGGTTGTTGGGTGTAGCTCTCCAGACCTTTCTTCTTATTTTGTCTTAGTCTGGAAACTCTACTGTAATCTGTTTAGTACTGCCAGACTTGGTCACATGAGATCCAGTCCAGGTCTCCTACACAGAGGGAGGATTCTACCACAGCACCACCACTGAGCCCTAATACATGTCACTGTTCTCATTTAGGTGGTACGCATTCTCCCTGAAGTAATGATTGCTGGAGGTTTAGTCTCCCTACAGACTTTGCATTCTCTTTCTCATTAAGGAAATTCTTGTCTCGTGCTTGCTACACTTGCCATCATGTATAGCATCTTGTATATCTTGAGGGATTTCTACCCCAGTGAAACTGAGTATTCTAAGAGTAAGTAACCTTCTTCACCAAGCAGCCTCATTCATATTTCTAGGCATTAAATTGCTAGACTCTTTTTCCTAACCAATCAAGGCCCTTCATCCATGTGGCTCACAAACAGAAGTGGACCTGGGGCTGAATGAGGAAACACAGAATGTACGGCAGAGATGCAGATGTAAGTGAAGCTAAGTGTATTAATGTTAGTGCAGGTGGTTTCACCAGCGACAAGGATGGCCCGACTTGTGCAGTGTGATTTGGAGGAAGGGATGCTGTTGACCTTGGTTTTAAGGGCCTGGACCCAGTTCCCAGTTTTTCACTTTATAGCTGTCAGAGTAATTTTAACTCACAGAGGCTCAGTTTTCTCATCTAGAGGATGAGAAAAGCTCCTCAGCTATGTGACAGGAATGCTTGCAGTACTTGATGAAGCCATGGCTGTCACGTTGATTCCACCTCATGGTGATGTCATCTGTGCAGCATAGACTACACTCCAGAGAGGTGTCAGTGCTGGTCCAGCAGGTGCATAGCCAGGCCTTTCTTCCCAGGCCCCTTCAGGGGAATTAAAATTTCCAATTGCTTTTCAGATGATAGCCTGGCTCCTTGTAGTATCCGGAGTCATTTGAGTGTCAGGCCAAGGACAGTAATACAGGCATGGGCTCTCAGGCCCAGGATATCAGCATGGTGGTGAGATGACTACATGAGGATGCATATATGTTTTGTTATTTGTATTTTTAACAAAGTTGAAGCTGATTCTGTGCTTGGGTTTTGTGAATTTCTCTTTTTCTAATAATGTTAGAAAAGCATCGAACATTTCAATGCATGGCATGGAAATGAGAGGAGAGGCTAGGGAGATCTGGCATTTGCAGGAAGATACCTGTTGGCGGGTTGTGGTGGGTAGTATGGGGAGTGACATTGGTTAATATGGATGAACCACTGCAAGTGCTAATCCTTATTCCATCCTCCTCCTCCCTAATCTGGCTCTACCCTTAATGTATTGTATAGGATAGGAAACTCAGAAAAAGTTCTTCTAGGAGGGTTAGGTTCTTGCCCAGGATGATTCCTTGGGTCTCCTGGAATGGGAGCTGTAGCTCCAGAGAGAAGTGGCCCATCATCAGAAATCTAGAGTCAGGGAGTGGCCACAGAGTGCATCTCCAATCCAGACAAAGGGAACCAGAACAATTTCTATTTCTGCAGATGAGAGCCTGAGTGGAAGAGGCTGAAACAGAGTGCATCTGAATTCATTTGAGCTGGGTGGAGGTTCTTAGTGCCACAGTTGAGGTGTTCCTGCCCACATGGCTGCTGAACGCCCTGGAGAGTCTTCACTTGATTTCCCACCAGGAAGCAGGTGACAAGCCAAAGCTTGGACACAAGGTAGATGCATCTTCCATGCTGAAGGAACTGGTTAGCAAGTGGTGGCTTGTAGCTCTGCTCTTACCCTCTGGAAATCTACCAGCTTGGTTCTTGTTCCTCTTGTTTGATCCAGGGAAACCAGGATTTCCTAATGGAAAGAACAGGCTGCTCCTGGCCAAGAACGGCCTGCAGCTGCACATCTCTGCTCAAGAGAATCACCTGTCCTGGGAGAAGGAGGCTGTGGCTTTAAGGACTTAACAGCCTCAGTGGTGGACTTTCAGGCCTAGTCAGAGCTCTGGGCATTCTTCTGGGGAAAAGTGGGCTCAGGACATGGAGTATACATATGAATATGGGAGACCTGGGATAAGTCGCTTCCCAAAATATGGAGAAAATCTTGAGGTTCTCGCCATAATGAGAATGTTTGTATGCTCTTTTAATGACTTAGATGGCCCCTAGAAGTGAATGTCCTGACTGGGAAAGTGGCAGGAGCTGTAAGGGACGAGCTCATCCAGTTCTAGTTAAGAATTAGCCCTTCTCCAGAGGAGGAAACAGGCCTGAGGAAAGGTGTGCCCTGACCAAATTCACACGTCTACTTAATGATGGGGATAACGCCAGAATTTGAGGCCTGTTTCTTGTTTGTCTGCCTGCTCCTGCTCATCCAGGAACAGTAGTGGTGTACACCCCTCAGTTTTTTCTAGAGGCTGCGGACTCCAGAATCACAGCCCTTGTACCTCTGTGGTGTTCTTATACTCTGGGTGACTAGGGAGTGTAGTTTCCTCACCCACTTCTCCTTCGCCATGCATCACACCCTGCCACTTTTCCTCTTCCAGCCTCTTTTCCTCATTAGTCCACAGTTTGCTCTTCAGCAGCCATATTTTCTTTTTTTGCACTGCAGAGTCTATTTTCCAGGTTTCAGAGCTTTATAGGAGGAGAAAGTTTTGAGAACCTGAGCTTTTGTAAAGGGAAGGTGATGAGATGGGAAGGGCACATGAGGTGCCCCCACGGGCTCACAGGGTAAGAGGAACAGGAACCAGAGGAGGAAAGCCAGGATCAGATAGGCATACACTCCACCTGTAGTGGACTCTGGGGTCGCTTGGGTTCACATGATCACCCTCACCCTGCTATGCCAGGAATAACTGCTCATTTACTAGGGAGTGTGACTATCACCTGACTGCGACTGGTCAGGTGGCAAACTTCTGAATGCTTTGAATTAATTCTTGCTGATTCTCTGTACTCTGGCCACTTTTCCTCCTCTTCCCTCTGACCCTTTGCCAGGTCTGCTTCCCACATGTGTGAACTTACCACCCCCCACCTCCCCGCTCCATATAACTGAGGACAAACCTGTATGTGTGCTCTTACATGGACTCCCCCTGTGTGTTAACTCTGAGTTGATGTGATATGATGAGAAGCACATAGACTGTTGAATGTTTCAGAGCCTGAGTCCATGCCCCTGCCTGGCCTCTCCCCACCTGCATGGTTTAAACCTCTCTGTGCATCAATTTCTGTCACTGTGAGAGTTGATAACAACAGTCATGATTTCAGTAGGTTTTTGTGAGCAGTGAATCAGGGAATGAGCATTAAGTACAGGCGTATTTCAAGCATTTAATACTTATGTCTATAATGACCCATGATAAGAGCGTTATTCTCTACCTTTGAAGAATAGAGGTAATGCTATACCTGCCTTGTATTGTGGTGATTAAATTATCTCATTTATTTGATAGTTTACGCATAAACTGTAAGTTGCTCTACAGTTAAAGGTAGAGATGCAGTTAGGAGAAAGTTAATGTCACTGATTCAGCACATTCTGTTCATCTGTCCAGTAGGAGTATGGCCCCAGTTACATCTCCTGGGCTCCTTAGATCCAGATGCATTGCTGACCCCAGTGCTGAGATATCCACGCAGGAGCCCCATCCTTCCCTTTCATGATCTCTGAAAATTCTTCCAGGGTTTGGTGCTGGAATCTCAAGTTTCTGTTGCAAGTTAAGCTTCGACACAAATAAAGGAGCCTCTGCATGGACCATAGTCTGTCTTCTTAGCAGCCATGGAGCCCCTCGTCCCTGTAGCTATTGGTCTGTTTCTAGATAGAGAATTGTCTCTGTTCTAGTTTGCCTTGCTCCTACTGAAGGGATAAGAAGCTTTGCCTGGCATGGGAAGGTTGGGCTAGTGACCCTTTAGCTGAGAATGGAGCTTAATTCTTTGTTGTCAAAGGGTTAACTGCTTCCAACCACCCTGGGAAGTGAAGAGCAAGCCTTCCACCCACACTGGCTCCACTGCCACTGCCAGGCCCTCACTCAGTTACAGGCATGGCGGTTCTGGACTGGGAGCCCATTTCTTTCTTTTTTTTTTTTTAAAGGCCCTTGGACTTTGCTTTTGTATCTCATTGATTCTCCCATAGGACTGCCCTGGGTGAGTCTGGGCAAACTTTTCACAGGAAGCCACTGAGATTCATCCTGCTGCCTCCTCCTGGGGCCTGAGCTGCTCTGTGCTTGACCCCGCTGTCCTTAGGGCCTGGAAGAGGGGTGCTGGCGTGCACACAGCTGCTGAAGTCATGTTGGGCTCTCCTCTATGACGCACAACTGCCTGAGGTCCCTCACTCTGTCACTAACGTCTCCCTACCCTTGGCAGGACCTGTGTGGCTCCACCACCTGCGACACCCTGGGCATGGCAGATGTGGGCACCATGTGCGACCCCAAGAGAAGCTGCTCTGTGATTGAGGATGATGGGCTTCCATCGGCCTTCACTACGGCCCATGAGCTGGGTGAGCTTGAGGGGGCCAAGGCCGGAGGAAGGGGCTCGCTCCTCCAGGGTCTTCCTGGGTTTTCACTGGGGACTCTGAGGTCCAGGGAGGCATTTGCTTTTAATGCTTTATTCTCTGAAGCCTGAGGGATCCTTTCTCAGTCTAGGGTCTGCCATAATTTTGTATCATTTTCTCTGACTGCCAAACCCATGTGCCGGGGACATTATCAGAGCATCTCTGCCGTCAGACTGTCTCAATGATTAGGCACCATGGAAAGAATAGGTTAAAGAAAAGAAAACCCAGTGTAGTCCTCACTGAGCCCACAGCCTGACAGGGGACAGGGTATACAAGGAAATGATGCTGAGAGGTTTGCAAAGCAGTTGATTGATGGGTGGAAATGTTCAGCTCCCTAGCTCTCTGACCTCTTCCCCTCCTCATACCTTTTCTTTTTCACTGGGTCCTCTTGCCTCACCCTCCAGGCCACGTGTTCAACATGCCCCATGACAATGTGAAAGTATGTGAGGAAGTGTTCGGGAAGCTCCGAGCCAATCACATGATGTCCCCAACTCTCATCCAGATTGACCGGGTCAGCCCCTGGTCAGCCTGCAGTGCAGCCATCATCACCGACTTTCTGGATAATGGGCATGGTAAGCCACGTTGACACAAGGCCAGGGGCATCTCAGAGTGGTTCTTCTCTAAACGACTGTTATGCATAATCCAAAGAGTTTTAAAATGGGTAGATCACAGTTGTATCTACCTTGGCATCCTGGGTTAGCCAGGCCTCACATCCAACCCCCAGTGATGACTGTTTTTGGCCCTCTGCAGGTGACTGCCTCCTAGACCAACCCAGCAAGCCCATTGCCCTACCCGAGGATCTGCCAGGTGCCAGCTACTCCCTGAACCAGCAGTGCGAGTTGGCTTTTGGGGTGGGCTCCAAGCCCTGCCCTTACATGCAGTATTGCACCAAGCTATGGTGCACAGGCAAGGCCAAGGGACAGATGGTGTGCCAGACCCGCCACTTCCCCTGGGCAGATGGCACCAGCTGTGGCGATGGCAAGTTCTGCCTCAAAGGGGTCTGTGTGGAGAGACACGATGTCAGCCAGCACAAGGTGAGTGTCTGAGCAGGATTGGAGACATGCTGGGATGAGGCCACCAGCCCCTGGGCCTGTAGGGACCCTATCCCTTACAAATAGATTTTCCTGTCTGTGGTTCTAGACCTTTCCTAACTGACAAGTAGAGAGGAATGGTGTGGCAGGTTAGAGAACTAGTCAGGCCTTAGACACATGGGAAGTGCCCTCAGCAAGAGCCAGATTCTTAGCCTTGAGTTTTGTTCTTTGCCCCCTCTGTGGAGGAAATCTGTCCCTGAAGCAGAGTGCTCGTTTTGATCACTTGCTCATTGTATTCTCCATTGCTTCCTGCTTTTGTATTTCTGAATGTATTCCATATGCAGAAAGCTGAAGGCCAAACCCAGAAAACAAGTTTGGTCTTGGCCACCAGAAAAGTCATAGTTGAGTGGAGAAGCTTTGAGTGGGGACTGGAGCTGGAATGAAGCAAAACCCAGAGCAGACTTTAATCATTGGCTGCGTCTTGGTTTTGGTGAAACATGACTGAACAAAAGTGGGATTTTTTCCCCTCTCTGATGAGTAGAAATAGCAGTCAAGGCAAAACATACTGAAGATCCCACATGTTATACAATATAATAAAAACTTGCTATTTTTTAAGTCTTAGGTTGTTAGCATCCCATTCTGTAACAACAGAGGCCCTCTTAGTTCAAGCCCTCTGGTTTTGGATCCTGCCCTTAATCCTACCAACTTTTTTTTCTTTCCACCGGAGGTATTTTTTTTTTTTTAATATTTATTGGTTTGCATATAATCATCCATATACATGTACTTTGTGCTTTATACAGCCATTCATATGCATTGTATTTCATTCATGTACTTTGTGTTTTATACAATCATTTATATGCACTGTATTTCATGTAATTATCATTGCTCTATGTGTATTATCACCGCATCTTTTCAAGACCCCATTGAAACTTCCACATACCTTCACAGCCTCCTCCACCAATATCTGTTATCCCAGGTATTTCTTCCCTTTCCCTTCTTTTGGCCTCCATCTGTCCTTTCTCTTTCTCTTTTGAACAATTCTATCCATCTTGCTTTAATATCCTCCTATTTTCACAATAGTGGTCTTATGCAGTATTTGTCTTTATGCAGCTGAGTTAGTTCCCTTAGTATAATACTCTATGCTTTGAAGGAAATAGCAAAAATAAGTAATAGATGGTATACCAATTGACATATTTCAGCTAACAGATGCTGTCCTGGGTGTGCTCACCAAGTTGTGCCAAGAAATCTGGAGAACAACCATTTGGCCAACTGACTGGAAGAGATCTATATTTGTTCGCATTCCAAAGAAGGGTGACCAAGCAGAGTGTGGAAACTGTGGAACAGTATCATTGATTTCACATGTAAGCAAGATTCTACTGAAGATTATCTAAAAATTACTGGAACAGCACATCAGCAGAGAACTGCCAGAAGTCCAGGCTGGGTTTAGAAGGGGTTGTGGTACTAGGGATATTGTAGCTGGTGTTAGATGGTTCTTAGATGAAAGCAGGGAATACCAGAAGAATGTCTATCTGTGTTTCATTGATTATGCAAAGGCATTTGACTGTGTGGATCATAACAAACTGTGGCTGACTCTGAGAAGAATGGGAATCCCAGAACACTTGATAGTTCTAATGTGAAACCAGTACTTGGACCAAGAGGCAGTTGTTAGAACAGAGCAAGGAAATACTGCATGGTTCAAAATTGGGAAAGGTATGTGTCCTATCTCCATACCTTTTCAACCTGTATGCAGAGCAGATTATCCGAGAGGCTGGGCTCTATGAGAAGTGTGGCGTGTCAGGGTTCATGGAAGATCTATTAACAATCTGCGTTATGCAGATGACACAACCCTGCTTGCTCAAACTGAGGAGGACCTGAAATGCTTGCTGCAGAGGGTCAAGGACTGCAGCCTCCAATATGAATTGAGGCTCAATGTCAAGAAGACAAAGATTCTCAACTCTGGACCAATTGGCAGCATCAGGATGGATGGTGAAGAGATTGAGATTGTTAACAACTTTGGTCTGCTTGGCTCCACGATCAACACTTTTGGCACCAGTAGCCAGTAAATAAAAAAAACGTATTGCGATGGGAGACTAAGGAGGATAAAAGGAGAATTGATGCCTTTGAGCTGTGGTGCTGGAGAAGAGTATTGAGAGTAACATGGACTGCTAAGAAAACAAACAGATTCATTCTGGAGAGGGTTAAACCAGGCTGCTCCTTGGAGGCAAGGATTCTGGGGCTTCATCTGACATACTTTGGACATGTTGTAAGGAGGGACAGGTCCTTGGAGAGGGACATCATGCTTGGGAGGATGGAGGGACGGCGCAAGAGGGGAAGACACTCTATGAGGTGGATTGGTTCAGTGACTGGGGTAATTGGGATGGGTGTGTCAGAGGCAGTGCAATTGGCACAGGACAGAACAGGGTTTAGGGCTGTTGTACATAGGGTTGCTATGAGTTGCAAGTGACTCGATGGCACATAACAACAACAACAACAACAACAACAACTACAGATCCCCATGTTATATATTTGTTGTAGTGGTGGTGTATCGTCAAGTCAGAACCCACTCATAACTGACCCTCTAGTGGGTTTTCAGAGGTAGTTAATCTCACAATTGATTGCCTATCCTTCTACCATGGAACAGTTGGTGGCCTCGATCTGCATGCTTTTGGGATTGCAGCACAGCTTCTTGACATTAGGCATGACAGCTCTTGTTATTCCTTAGTGCTACATAGTATTACCTTGTGTGGATGTACCACAATCTCTCAATCCATTTGTTGGTTGATTCTTCTCATGTCTTCACTTCCTTCTTTTCTGAGCTGAGATTCTGTTGTTCACGTGTGTCTTCATTATACTGATCACCTCAAAGTTAGTTTCAGCTTTTAATGGGCCCTTGCTGTGTTCCATGACTGTCAATCTTTATAGGAGGGGATGACTCATCTTTCTCCAGCAGAATCACTGGTGGATTTGAACTGCTGACATTTTCTCTCATAGTCCACCTGGTAACCATTTCTTCTCAGGACTCTATTTCTTTATCAAACTTCCTGCGAGAAACCACTATCCTAGTTGCATCTCATCCTCTTCTAGACTGTGCTGGCATAAGTAGATATGACAGGAAAAATACACAATCATGCTCACTGGTCTCGGTTAAAACCCATGATGTGGAAACTCATGTGAATCCCTGGTTATCTCTTCCTCTAAAGAATCACAGCCTCAGAAGTGATTGATGGTGCTCTGAATCAGAACTGATTTGATGGCAGAGGGTTGGTGTTGCCCAGCAGTCAGAGTTTAGTTCCTCCATCTGTACACTCTTCCCATCTCCAACCTCAATTGGATTCCCATCTCCAACCTCCGGGGGACTTTTCCCCCCTCTATTTTACTGAAAAAGCAGTAGTTGAGCAATTAGCACTCTCGTCAGCTCCCATCATGACCTCCACTATCTTACCTGCATCTGTCCCATCATGACCTCCACCATCTTACCTGCATCTGTACCATTATTACCTCTATCACCTTACCTGCATTTGTACTTACCTGTAAACAGGTGGGCTGCCCCTGGTGTTCTTTGCATTGGAGTACCATCCTTCCCTGTCTATTCAAGGAAATCACCTTGTCAGTTTTCTCATCTCTTCTGCAGTTTTCTCCTTTCTTGAGTTGAATCATTCCTATTAGGAAACAAAGAAACATTCTCATGATGTTAGTTTTCCTTCATAAATGACATTATATTTCTCTGACCAACATTACAGCAAAATTCCTTGAAAGAGTTGCATAAAAGTTCTTTTTCCAATTCCTTTCTCCGCATTTTTTTCTTGAATGCATTCTAACCAGAGATTCACTCCCATCACATTCCAAAATAATTCTTATTAAATCACCAAATGCTTTATACTTTGCCAAATTCAATGAGTAATTGTCATACCTCATGCTGTTTAACCGATTAGCAGGATTTGCCACAGTTGACCATTTTCTTCCCTGGGAACAGAGTCTTCATTGCCTCTTAATTTTATCCTTTTATGCTGGCTGTCCTGCCTCAGTCAGCCAGTTCTTCTCATACCTTCATTTTCTTCTTTTTTTAAAATTTTTAAAAAATTTTTAAAAAATGATTTCTTTCTGTGAACATCTACAGAGATTTTGGAATTCCATTCATTCATTGTTGCACTTTTCTCCGCACCCACCCCAAGTATACTCCACTCTGCAACCCTCATTCTGGACTCTTATGATAATTGTAATACCCTATAATATATTACTTTTAAACTATTCTTTCCCTCATCATCTTCAAAGCAGGAAACATAATTTATCCAGTTTTTCTCAGTCTTACTCCCACCCCGATGTCAGCCTCATTCTACAACAGTGGCACAATATAATTGTCCTTTTGTGACTGAGATACTTCACTCAGTGTAATGCCCTCCAGGGTCACCAATTTTGAATAATATTGCATGAGTTCCTTGTTTCTCAATGCAGCATAGTATTCCATTGTGTGAATATTCCACAGCTTCTCTATCCATTCGTTTGTTGATGGGCACTTAGGTTGTTTCCAACTCCTTGCTATTGTGAACAAAGCCGCGATAAACATCGGTGTCCATATATCTGCTTGGAAGTCATTTAGGGTCTCTTTAGGGTATATTCCCAGTAGTGGAATTGCTGGGTCAAATGGTATCTCTATTAGCAACTTTTTGAGAAAGCACCACACTGCTTTCCACAGTGGTTGCACCATTTTACACTCCCACCAACAGTGAATAAGGGTTCCAATTTCTCCACAACCTCACCAGGATTTGTTGCTTGCTGTTCTGTTAAATTTTGCTATTCTGACTGGGGTGAGATGATATATCACAGTTGTCTTGATTTACATCTCTGTCAGAGCTAGGGATTTGAACATTTCTTCATGTTCTTATTGGCCATCTGAATGTCTTCTTTGGTGAAGTGTCTGTTCGTGTCCTGTGCCCATTTTTCTATTGGATTATTTACCTTTATCTTGTGGTGCTCAAGTATTTTCTAAATTCTGGATATAAGTC